GGAGCAGACACTTCAACATTTTGTGTGAACATTGACTGCTATTTTCAAACTGTTCATTATTCCCTGCACTTTGTGAACGGCCCCAGTTCCAGCAGAAGAGTCAGATTAGGTCACTTGTTGGAAAAAAAAAAAAAAGAGGTCAGATTTTTTTTTCTTACATCGCAAAAAACAGTCATTTGAACAGGGGTGTGTCGGCTTTTTAAAATATCCACTCAACGACTTTTCTCTCTCTATCTCAAGCGAACACAAAAGTTGTTCTAGGAATGGTCATGGACAAAATGTCCTCCCAAGTTAGGAGCAGTGTGTCAGTGTTCCAGCAAAACAACCATAAAAAGCCTCCTCCATATGTGCAGGCTGGGTGGGATTGCCTTTCATAACCGTGTTTTCCTGCGTTGTTGCACAACGGCGTAGCGCGTCAATAAGCTGCTGGGTTTTTTTTTTTGACTGTGCTCTACTGGGAACGGGGACAAGACGTACAGTATGGAAAAATCAACGGTAAAATGGCGGCATTATGCAATGTCTGATATTGTTGTCTTCCCAAGGATTGTTGATTCAAATCGGTTTTGGCGCGTGGTCTCATTCGCAAAAAAAGAAGAAAGAATAGAGACGCTAGCAGGTAATATGGAAAAACAGAGGCACCGGGTCATCTGTAAATGTTTACATAAGACACAGCTGCAACTCTTGGCTGGGACCACACTTCTGTTTTAGATTTATGTCTGTCTTTTGTATTTATTTTTATTGAGGTTTATAAGTACTTAAAAATATATTTTTGAGTTTTTGTTTCATTTGATTAATTTTTTTGTATTTATGTTTTCTAAATTTGTATCTTTTTAATGGTTGTTATTATGAATATTTATACTTATTTTGTTGGGTTTTTTCACTGAGAAATATATGTAAAATAATATAAAAATAATACACACTTTGCATTTGTCTGGAGGTGTTTCCATCTATCAATCCATTTTCTGAACTGCATGCAAATACTTTTTGTTTGTCTACTTTCTTCCTTTCAAAATGTTCCTGCTGTAAATTGCAAATTTCTTCATTGTGAGACAAATAAAAATGTTCTTATCTTATCCTCACCAGGCTCGCAATTATTTTTTCAATTGAATTTTTTGCTTTTTTTTCAATCTGCATTTTATTAGTATTTTTGTTTGGGTTTATAAAAAGAAAATATTTCAGTTTTTGGATTTGTGAATTTCCATCTTTTTTACTTGATGGTTGTTTTCATTTCAAAACATTTGTAATCATTTTTCTGACTGCTATTACTTAGTTTGCAACGATTTATGTACTTCTGAATTTTGGGGGATTTCACTCTTTTATTATCTTATTTTGTGTATTATATTTGGCATTCATGAAAATACCATAAAGCAACCACACATACAGTGTCTATCAAAAGTCTACACACCCCTGTTCAAATGTCAGGTTTTTGTGATATAATAATAATAATAATAATAATAGGAAAAATGAGGACAAGATAAATCATTTCAAAAACGTTTTCTCCAATTGAAGTGAACTGCAAACTTTAAAACACAACAAACAAACAAAAAAAACCCCATCTTTTAAAAAAAGTTGAAAAAAAATGAGATCATGTGGTTGCACAAGTGTGCACACCCTAACAACAAGCTATGGTTGTTTTCCAAATTGACCAATTACAGTCAAACTCATGTTAATTGCCAGTCAGCCCTCACCTGCCCCTACCTCTGATTAACCAAATAAAGTTCAGCTGTTCAAGTAGGCTTTTCCTGATGTTTTTCTGTTGATTTATTTTTTTGTTTTAGTTTTGGAGCAGACACTTCAACATTTTGTGTGAACATTGACTGCTATTTTCAAACTGTTCATTATTCCCTGCACTTTGTGAACGGCCCCAGTTCCAGCAGAAGAGTCAGATTAGGTCACTTGTTGGAAAAAAAAAAAAAAGAGGTCAGATTTTTTTTTCTTACATCGCAAAAAACAGTCATTTGAACAGGGGTGTGTCGGCTTTTTAAAATATCCACTCAACGACTTTTCTCTCTCTATCTCAAGCGAACACAAAAGTTGTTCTAGGAATGGTCATGGACAAAATGTCCTCCCAAGTTAGGAGCAGTGTGTCAGTGTTCCAGCAAAACAACCATAAAAAGCCTCCTCCATATGTGCAGGCTGGGTGGGATTGCCTTTCATAACCGTGTTTTCCTGCGTTGTTGCACAACGGCGTAGCGCGTCAATAAGCTGCTGGGTTTTTTTTTTTGACTGTGCTCTACTGGGAACGGGGACAAGACGTACAGTATGGAAAAATCAACGGTAAAATGGCGGCATTATGCAATGTCTGATATTGTTGTCTTCCCAAGGATTGTTGATTCAAATCGGTTTTGGCGCGTGGTCTCATTCGCAAAAAAAGAAGAAAGAATAGAGACGCTAGCAGGTAATATGGAAAAACAGAGGCACCGGGTCATCTGTAAATGTTTACATAAGACACAGCTGCAACTCTTGGCTGGGACCACACTTCTGTTTTAGATTTATGTCTGTCTTTTGTATTTATTTTTATTGAGGTTTATAAGTACTTAAAAATATATTTTTGAGTTTTTGTTTCATTTGATTAATTTTTTTGTATTTATGTTTTCTAAATTTGTATCTTTTTAATGGTTGTTATTATGAATATTTATACTTATTTTGTTGGGTTTTTTCACTGAGAAATATATGTAAAATAATATAAAAATAATACACACTTTGCATTTGTCTGGAGGTGTTTCCATCTATCAATCCATTTTCTGAACTGCATGCAAATACTTTTTGTTTGTCTACTTTCTTCCTTTCAAAATGTTCCTGCTGTAAATTGCAAATTTCTTCATTGTGAGACAAATAAAAATGTTCTTATCTTATCCTCACCAGGCTCGCAATTATTTTTTCAATTGAATTTTTTGCTTTTTTTTCAATCTGCATTTTATTAGTATTTTTGTTTGGGTTTATAAAAAGAAAATATTTCAGTTTTTGGATTTGTGAATTTCCATCTTTTTTACTTGATGGTTGTTTTCATTTCAAAACATTTGTAATCATTTTTCTGACTGCTATTACTTAGTTTGCAACGATTTATGTACTTCTGAATTTTGGGGGATTTCACTCTTTTATTATCTTATTTTGTGTATTATATTTCCTGGATTTTTTGCTGTTACTTGATTGCTTAGCCCTTAGTTTTTTGTGCATTTTAATTTCTTATTTTATTCAGATTTATATTTTTATATTAATACTTAAGTCGCTGATGGTGTAGTGGTGCACTCTTTTTCTGTGGCGACTTGGTAGGTGACGGGAATACCCACGGGGTCATGACCTTCCCGCACTTGAGCGTCAACACGCTGAAGGCAATGTGGGCGGCGCTGCCGACGAGACACATTGACCTCCGATTGTACTGTGTGATACTTTGGCTCTTTGCGTTGACTTTCTTCATTTATTCACACACTTCCATGTAATTGTCATGACATATTTACACGAAGTTTCATACTTTGGGTGGAGTGTTGAGTCACAAATATGTGCACACACCCAAAGGAGTCACTCACACACACGTGCGCACACACACACACACACACACACACACACACACACACACACACACGCACGTGCATGGTGTTGCATCAGATTGATTCACTTCAAAATAGTGGCAAAGTCATCCAAGTAACAAAGTCTGCTTGCTTCTCAACAACAGTCCAAACAAATATGCTAAAATAGATGCCCCATGTCCTCTGTAATTTGTTTTTTCAATTCATTAGAGGCACCTCATGATGTATATATAATTTCAAAACATTTCTAATAAAGTTTCCATTTGTATATTTGGGGGTAGATGTTTCAAGTGTTGCATTTTATGTTTGTTTTTTTTGTTTTTTTTAGTTGATCCATCCATCCATCTATCCATCTTGTACCGCTTATCCAGGGCCGGGTCGCGGGGGCAGCAGCTTTAGCAGGGAAACCCAGACTTCCCTCTCCCTAGCTACTTCTTCCAGCTTTCCCCGGGGGATCCCGAGGCGTTCCAAGGCCAGCTGGGTGACTTAGTCTCTCCAGCGTGTCCTGGGTCGTCCTCGGGGTCTCCTCCCGGTGGGACATGCCCGGAACACCTCACCAGGGAGGTGTTCAGGAGGCATCCGAATCAGATGCCCAAGCAACCTCATCTGGCTCCTCTCGATGTGGAGGAGAAGCGGCTCGACTCTGAGCCCATCCCGGATGACCGAGCTTCTCACCTTATCTCTAAGGGAGAGCCCGGACACCCTGCGGAGAAAAAACTCATTTCGGCCGCTTGTATCCGGGATCTCGTTCTTTTTTTTTGGTTGAGATTTTTTTTAAATCTTTTAATTTTCCTGTTTTATTTGTATGTACTGTTTGTTATTCAGAATCTAAAGTTATAAGGAGAATAAAGAAATGTAAGAAAGGAAGAAAAATGAAGGGGGTAAAAGTGAAAAACGTCAAAAAGAAAAAAAGGAAAAAAGAGAAAGAACATCTAGAAAAACCAAAAAGAAAGAAGTTCGAACAAATGACGGAAAAACGAAGAGCAAATCAAAAGGAAAAAAAGAAAAACAACAAATGAAAAATATTTTAGGGAGGAAAAAACTTTTATTGAGAAAAGGAGAAAAAAAAACGAGAGAATTGAAATAAAGAACACAAAAATGAGAAAAAGGGGGTGAACCAACAGACCACTTTAAAAATTGGGAAAAATAGGAAAATGGGTTAAAGTATAAAGACAAAACAAAATGGAAAAAGGAAATGAATGAATGTAAAAATTAAATCTACATTAAAAAAAATAAGAAAAATAAGAAATGGAACACAAAAGGAAAAAAAAAGAACAAAAGGGACCAACATGAGCAAAATTGAGGGAAAAAATAGAGGTATGAAGCAACATAAAGCAATGAACAAATGAGTAAGATTTTTTAAAATGTTAAGTTAAAAAGCTATAGCCCCAGCGTGCTTGTTTGTGAAGCTTTGGCGCCCTCTGGCGACTGTCGGTTGCAATTACATCCTGAACACAAATTGATAACAGACCGGACGGAAAAATAAGTCTTTATTCCTTTCTTTGATACGCTCACCAAATAGTGATACCATACTATAAATATCATTTCACAGTTCTCCATAAATCCTGCAAAGATATTTTGACATTCTATCAAAAGAAGTTTGTACAGCAGCATTCGTACTGTCGCTCACATGAAGCAGCGTTTATTCCTGAGAACCACCTCCTGGTCCAAAAACAAATATTTAAACTTATTACGCTGAAATTAAGTGATCATAATTTAAAGGTAGATTCAGACGAATAGCTGTGCCCGCCCATCGAGTGTGAAATTAAACACACAAGCCAATCTGTGACCTGACAATTTCTGGAATGTGTCTGCAAGTGCGCTCTTCTCTACTTTGTGAAGAAAGGCTGCATGCAATAGTGCAATTGCACCTCTGTGAGCCAAAGAGGGGAGGAGGGGGGGGGGGGATAAAGCTACAGACCTTATGCCATTGACCAGTGTTTGAAACGTCACGGGAACTTCTCTCTTTCCGCCGTGGCTTACATTAATTCAAGAGAGTTTGGGCAATCCAGATCGCATTTCTCAGGCCCTCCGCCATTGGGCACCTCTCCCTCAGAGGCGGTCAGCGGCAGGTATGCGTAGTTGGCACGCGTGCGACTCGCTGGCGATTGCCTGCAGAGCCGCGTGGCAAGAGCCAGGAGGCTGAGCGTCAGCAGAATGCTCAGGATGATGGTGAGCGTCAGCCACGTTGTCCTGGAAAGAAAAGAAAGAGAACAGATACATGTGAAAACGTGCATTTTTCAAGGGGGGGAAAAAAAGTGCTACGGGATCAAAGTTGTCCCCCCCCCAAAAAAAAAGTCGTTCATGTTTGAGAAAAAAAGGTGGCAAGGTTATGAGAAAATTTGACAATATTTCCAAAATCTTGTAAAAATTACATTGATTAAAAAAAAGAAAAGAAAAGAAATAATACTTACATGTGTTGGATCGGTTGTAAATTTATTCCAATACACGTTTTTCATTAAAAGAGGCACATTTTGCAGCAAATACTGTGTGCAAAAAAAAAAAAAAACAACAACAAAAAAACCCTCAGGAAATGAACAAAGAGAAAAAAAATGTGTCAAAAAGATTAGATAATTTTTAAAAGGGATAAGAAAAGGAGAAAAAAAATGAAAAAAGTATTTGGAAGGGGAAAGGAATATAAAAAGGAAATGGGAATTAGAAAAAGGAAAACAACAAGAGAATTTTTTCAAAATGGAAAGAGAGGGAAAAATGACCCCAAAGTGAGAAAAATAGGACGAAAAGGATTCAAATAAAAACCTACAATAAAAGCGATGAAATTAACTTTTCTCATCGAAAATAGTTTCTCTTCAAGTTTAAAAGGCCTATTTTCTATCGCTAAAAAGTCAGATTTCTGGGAAAATACATCATAATTTATATTACACTTTAAAAGCAGCTGTTACTGCAACAAAGTGCTCTGCGGTGCATTTAACATAAAATAACCATACAACTGAAACTGTTGCAATACTCTGGGAATCAAATGGCACATTTTACATGACAAAATAAAACTTATTTCTCAACTTACTCCGTTAGATAACGAGTTTCTTCCTCCCGCTCTTTGGCCTTTAAGCGTCCATCTGTGACAATACAAGATGACAAAACACGGACAACTTGTAGACACACTTCCGATATCGCGGGAAGAGCGCAAGGTGCTACTGAGGTCACGTTGGGCCTTCGTGAAGGCCGACAAGCTTTTCGGTTGCGGCGCTTCATCTCTTGTACCTTCTTCACAAGTTGTTCCGGAGAACCCCGGAGCGCAGCTGCAGCCTCCGTGGATGTGATGGCACGAGCCGCCGTTCATGCAGGAGCACGTCTGGTTGCAGCCGTTGCCATAGAAACCCGGCAGACATTCTGGAAAAAAAAAAACAAACACACTTAACAATTTACAGATTTCAGGGATGTCTACATAAGCTTGTGTCAGCTCCTTAGCTCCTCTTGCTAGCATAAACATGCACGCCAAGTTTCAATTCGTTTGAGTTCGTGACACGTCGTGCGCACTGTTGTGTCTGCGTTCCGAAGTACCTTGACTGCAGTTCTTGCCTCTCCATCCGGCATCGCAGACGCAACCCCCTGCGACACGATACAAACGAAACGCCCGAAGTTTAGAACGGACGCAGAGCACACGAGACACGTCTTCGGTTGGCGGCGCTTCGTCGGGGGCGGACGCTTACTGGCGGTGCAGACCTGGCGCGAGCCGCAAGATGGCAGCCGACACACTGTCGAGTCGCAGCCGGCGCCCCGCCAGCCCTCGCGGCAGCGACATAATCCGTCCACGCATTGGCCGCGTCCGCCGCAATCCGATGGCTGGCAATGCCGCGAATGGACGCACAGGATGGTGGAGACTGGCCGAGCGCAGCGCCACCTTTGGTCTGCTTTGCTGCGATGACATTTAGAGGGCGGGATAACAGTTTCGGGCGGCAGCAAGAGAGTCGTTTTTTTAGCTTACGAGGCACCGGCTACCATTTGTCCGTCGGGTAGTTGGCCAGGGTGCCGTTGGACACGAAGGTGGAAGACCCGCCGCCGTCCATATTGATGGCGTTGATGACTCCGTTTTGCTTCAGGAAGTCGGCCATCTCCCAAAGGCTCATTCTGTCCAGACGGGCAACGTCGTGAGCAAAGTGTTCAGAAGAGGTGGAGGACTTGAGTCAGACTCTAGCCACTAAATATTAAGACGTCAGATGTGATTGTGTGGAGCATTTTTTTTTTTTTTTTTTTTATAAATCGCTCACCCTCTTTCTCCTGTCTGTCCATCCACCTGGAACAAGATCACCCTGCCCTCGGCGTCGTGACCCAAAGCACTCCTGGCTGATATAACGTTGGTGAAATAGTCTAACGAGCCTGCCAAAGCGCAGAGGCATAAAACAGGTTCCAGAAAACATTCCAACCGCCGTCGGCACGTGCCACCGCGGGGTTTCGGAAACCACGAGGACGTCCGTACCGCTCTCCTGCATTTCGGCGCATTCGGCTTTCAGACTGGAATTGATGTACACCTCGCCGTTTCGGAGCAGCCACATCACTCCGCTGACCAACTGAACAAAAGGATTGGACTGCTCCAGAACTTCCTCCTGAGACAGATACCTGAAATGCACAGAAGACTGACTGATTCAATATGATGTCAATAGGGTACAGTCGGTTTCTCAGTACCAAACATGACGTGAATATGGTACATTATGCCGCAACACTCTCTGGTCGCTATGGTAACATTTAAACATGCCTTCAAAATAAGATACGCCGCAAATACAAAGTGCATGAAAAATACGGCTCACTATCGCCGCATATTATGCAGAGTGGGCTCGGTGCGTGGGAATCTCCAGTTGAGATAAATCCGTATTTGAAGAAGCACTCCTAATACTGTCTATTAAATGTAGCCTTCTTTTTCTTGAAAGTCGTAGGCACCTCTTCTGTCTCCTGGCTGGGCTTTTTCCCCTTCCCAAATAAACTTTCCAAAGACGTTTGTTTTTTTTTTTTTTTTACTCATTTTGCTAACTCACGAGTTTCATTTTGGCGTAACACATGATCAAGAAGCACGCCTTGACCTACGTCAAGAGCGACATACTGTAGACGAATGTAACAGACGATCCGGTAATTTTTCAAAATAAAACATCTTTCAAAGTCCGAAATAAATAAAAGTGATGTAATTAGTTATTTATTCTTTCTGTGCGCCCGGTACCAAATGACCCACGGACCGGTGCTGGTACGTGGCCCGGGACTTGGGCACCACTGATTTATGGTACATTAGAGGAGCTTGATATAAACTTAAGGGTTAATTTGCCTTTGTATTAATGTATGTACAGTCTGCCTAACCTATAAGATCCAAACAATTCATGGATAACAATTATTATCGTTTATCAAAATAATGATTGGTTGTGTTTCTTTAAAAAAAAAAAAAAAAAGGTTAAAAAAATTGCAATCTGATTATTTTGCTAAATCGTTCAGCCCTCATTTTCTGCTTCACGTGTCTCTTACCCAAACACCAGGGTCCCATCCCTCCGAATGCCAAATTGGGCGTTTTGCACGCCGCCGCTGTCCCGCACCATCCTGCCGTCGCTCACCACGTTGCCCAAACACTGGCCCGTACGGGTGTTGAAGAAGCCGGCGTTCTGCGCGTACAGACAGCCGGCGTTCCGGGACGTCTCCTCCACCGTGGACATGCAGGAATTGCTGCAGCCTCCTGGCTGGCCAGGCTCCAGAACCGACAGGGTCCTCAGGGGGTCATGGACCACCGTAAAGTGACCTGAAGCCAGTCAGAAAAAATGAACACCAGGACAGACAAATAAATAAATGAATAAATAAATACAACTTTTGCCTGGTTACAGTGAACTATCAGAAATTTGCTATTACTTTTTCACATACGAAGAGGTAAGTTTTTTTTGTTAGTTTTTTGTGTGTGTCCAAATAAATTAAATTGCCATTTAGAAACTGCATTTTGTTATTTCCTTGGGCTGTCTCTGAAATCTTTCCGTGTGATAAATATGCAAATAACACAGAAATCAGGAATGTGGTCAAATATTTTACTTACCATTTCCCCATGACAAGTGGAGGTTCTCCTAAATGACAAAATTAAAAATATATATATGACGGATTACTTACCAGTCACGACACGGTTAGGCAGGTTGTACACGATCAGTCTGGACTCGGCCACTGGTAGACCGCTGTAGTTGCTGGCGCGGAAGCTCTCGTGGGTGCGATTGCCGTGCATGCTGGGTTGACAGTCCCTGACGTGGCGGTGAGAGTGGCGAGAGCCGTGGCCATCCGTGTAGGGCTGCAGGATGTCCATGTAGGGCGCCTGGATGTCACCCATCGCCAACACGCTTAAGAAGGATGGAAATGTACAGTTTTAGGGCAGAAAAGAGCAAAGGAATGTTTTGAGTCCATCAAAGCCACATACAGTAGATATTCCATGCGTTTAGATTTTTTTTCCCTCAAATATCTTTTACAGGTTAGTTTTCAATTATTTTGAATTGCCTTATGTATAGGTGGAAAGGTTCTATACCTTTTTGTGGTGTAGAACTGTGGGCTAATTTAAAATACGTTGGAGGAATTCGGGATACAGTACATGATCAATATTTGTTTGTCCGCCATGTTGGCAGCTGAGATCAGCGGCATTCTCGATTCTAATACTCAATCAGCACCAGAACTCAACAAAAGTGTCAGATTCCGACTGCGTGGTCCCTGACATCAGAGAAAATTTATATACAGTACAGTATTCAATTGTAGCAGTAACGTACTAACGTTATTAAGAAGAAAAAAACAAAAAAAAAAACGAGAGTCGGTTCCATGTCTCGCCAAGCTTATCCTCCCAACATGGTAGACCAACAATTACTGATCATGAGAGAAGAGAGAGAGAGAGACTGAAAAGTATATCACGGTACAATAGGACTGGGCGATAATTCAATATCAATATGTATCGCGATAGGCACGTGATCGATAGCAATAGAAAATGTCAAACAGAGAAAAAAAAA